GGGACCAGATGTGATCGGTGAAACCCTACTCTAGAGTGCAATACTGGACTAGCCCTAGCGGTAGCTATCTGTCAACAACTCCTGACCACATCCATCAAAAGCACATTCCTAAGCAGAGTAACCTCACAAAACAACACAAGACTTCTAGAAAATACACTTCTAGGAGATACAGACTTCTACTAAGTTCTAGAAACTCGCAACAGGCCAACAGAACAACGAAATACACCAACTGTTACCAGCTGCTTCAGTCTGCTCTCTCCCTGCCACTGTCCTCAATCATATGATAGTTCCTACAGTTCAGTACATGAATCCTTTAAGACAGTCCCGCTGCTCACTCCTCCTCGAGTCGTCAATCTCCGGAAAGCGTCCATACAACACTGCTGGGCTCCACAGCGTCCCGTCTTCTCCTGGAATTCACTCCTGGACTCTCCTCTTGCTTCCACCGCTTCCACTGACCGCCCCGTGAAGCACCAATCCGCGATCTTTGCGGTTGTATCCACACAAAGTCCGCTGGTCTCCGCTGGTCACAGCCTTTCTTCTCTGGCTCCCACGTGCCCTGATTCTGTAGACGTTTGATCCCCAGCCTCAGCCTCCAACCTTGCACGGATCACCACAAGGTCCACTGATTTCTGCTGGTGATACAATCTTCTCCTCAGGCTCCCACGTGCACTGATTCTGTCCGGGTCCTGTGGACGTCTGGTCTCCAGCCTCAGCTTCCAACTTTGCACGATCAGCACAAAGTCCTCTGATTTCTGCTGGTTACAACCTCCTCTGGCGCTTCCTGACCAACTATCCTGCCGACAACGCCAATGTTACAGGTTCCTCTTAAATCTCCAAGAACAGTTGGACACACACCAAAGTCAAAGTTCCACAGCCTTTATTTTCCACACCCTTGCTCCGGGGCTCCCTTCTCAGAATGCTCCCCTATGCTCCCCTGGAATGCCTTCCTGACCTCGATATTCCATTTCGGGCTTAACCGTTACTTATCAGGGGAGGGTATAGACCTACACATGTACTGGCAATTTTCTCTAGCATGTAACAGTATCCATCATTCTGGCTATGATTCTACCATTCCTTCTGTTGACTGTAGGGAGAGGAAGCAAAGGCAGCCCTTGTGTCTCAAGCCACACAGGTCAACAATCATGGCTGCACACCCCTACTCACCTGCACAAAGGCTTATGCAGAGTTTGAGGTAATTAGACAATTTACATCAGGTGAAACTGGTATTTTAGATATCTTAAAGGGTCTAGTCTTTGTGATCTTTCCATATCTATGAACAGTCCTATTGATGCAGGGTTTTACTTCCTTGCTTTCTTCATGCAACAATATACTGTCTGTTTCTAAAAGTTTGGAATCCAACTGTATGTAGGAAAATTATGAAAGGACATCAGTGGGTTTTAAAGACACTTTTTGAGGTGACCAGATACTTAGAATAGATGATAGGTACACCTTACAGTTGCAGAGTACATTTGGTGTTGTTCTTACAGCCCCGTGGAATGAAGGACGATGCAATAAGGAAGGCCTATGAACATGGAAGAACTATGATGCAGGTACATGTGTCTTCAAGTTGCAAGTTCAAGCATCAGAATGTACCCTTGATTTAGCCTAATGGCTATCACAATCAATCCTATGTGACTGTTGAGAGCTAGGGTAGAAGAAAAGAAGTCAATATGATATTCAAAATGTAAATTCATAGGAGTTGTTTTCAATACGTTATATCTTTTTTTTAACAAATTCAGACCTGATTATCACAAAGTTGCCAATTTCATTGTGTAAACTTTAGTATGTGCTAATTTCCCCAGATGCTGATAGAACTGTGTGGAAGTGACATTAATGCACAGGTGCAAAGTGAGAAGTACAAGAAGGAGAATGGTGAGTGCATCCATCAGCCATGGACCCTTTAATTTTCTATTTTCAATTTTGATGTTTTCCAACAAAGGTATGTTGAACTTTTGACACATAAAACTGAAGTGGTACATATATTAGATATACTGGTAACAATTGGTAAAATGTCAGTTCATTTGGACATGTACATTTTACATTCAATTACATTTATCATACACATATTAGTGATTTTATGTTAATTTGTTTCCTTTACCCAGAGTTTGCTACTGCAGTGCACTTCATGGTGAAAGCCAATGATCCTCTTGCCAAGATTGATGGAGATTGGTCCGAGGCTCCAGGGCTGCAGACATTGCTGAAGTACAAACCTAAGGTACCAGCACTTGTGTATCATCCATAGGACTGGTTACACACCGATAGTAAATGCTGTACGGTACGCATGAGATGTTTGATTAAAAACTGCTGTTAAACCCAACTAGAGCTTACAGAAATAATATTTTCATCGTGAAATCTGTAAACTTTTGTTTTGATGTGCCTGGCATTTGAACCTCACAGTCTCTCCTGATTGTCTTTGTTGTATCCTTCTAGCTGGATGTTGTTGACAAGAAGGGGCGGTCACCTCTGGTGAGAGCCATCCTACAGAAGAAAACAAAGTGTATAGAACTGTTGGTAAGTTTTCTTAAGTATATGGTATATTTAGAAAAATGTTCTTAGTTGTTATGCAATGGAAATGATATGATGTATGCATTTTTTTCAAAAAATTTTTGTAAAAGTATAGAAAGTTTCACTAAAAGTACTTTTTCAGGTGGACTCTGGTGCAGATATCAACATGAGAGCCTGTGATTTGAAAGAGGATGGCATGGCCTACCCCATACTGCTGGCCACAAGGTAATGATATTACATGTAGTAAGTATGTGGACTGGTACACAGTGTACTCTGGTTGCTTCTGTCACTTTAGCAGGTAGTTCTGTCAACATGTCAGGTGTTAACCACTGTTGTGTTTTATAGTACATGTCAGGTGTTAACCACTGTTGTGTTTTTTATAGTCTTTTAAGTCTATAAAACTGATTCTGTTAGTATTCTGTCATTACTAGTATCTCTTATTCCACTTGATGCAAGAGATGTTGTAAAGGATTTTTACTGATGTCCAAATGTCTGTGCTACAGGCAGAAACTACAGGGTGTGGTCGCCATGTTGGCCAAAAAGGGAGCCAATGTCAACAGCATAGATGAGAGGGACAAGAGAACTGCCTTGCATGTTGCTGTATCTGGATCCACAAGTAAGAAGACCCTGTTCTAAAACATATTCTTCAAAATGGTTGTGCTTGTCCTTTCCAATATTACTTTTAGCTATTTTTCAATTAAACCAATGCAACAATAGGATTATAGTAATGTCTTGCTCTGACTGTGCACAAGGTAAAATTTCATCATTTCTTTTTTACCTCTCAAAGTTACGGAGGTGGAATTTGCTCTTCTGGACACACTGCTTGATGCTGGAGCCAATGTAGATGCAGTGGACAATAAACAGAGGACCCCTCTACACATTGCAGTCAATGCCAATAGTGGGAGTACAGATTCCACTGCTGAGGTAAGTCTGAGGCTGAAGGAATTCTTAGTCCTAAAACTATTGGTTTGTGGAACAATAGCTGTGATTTGGAGAGCACTGTGCATTTTTAACATATCCATCCTTGCAGGTTGAAGAGAAACTGCTGGAAAAAGGAGCTAAACCAGACACGAGGGACATCAGGGGACGGATACCTCTGCATTATGCTTTTGTGAAGATCAAAGAGTAAGGACAGTTTCTGCCTTTTGAAAATAGATTTTGTACATTGATGCTTATTTAGCCTTTTTTTACTTAGGTCTTTCTTACTTAGATTGTTATTTTCTTACATTAAGAAATTAAGATGTATCTTTTTACCAGTTAAAGGAACTTAATATCAATTCATGCCTGGATGTAAAAATACCTAGCATATACAATGTAGTGAACAATGTCAGAGATCAGTTTTCTCCTTTCAGCCACCAGAACAAAACAGCAATCGACCCCATTGAGGTGACAACGACCTTAACAGTTGCCATGAATGGGCAGGGAATTGATACAGCTGATGAGTTTGGGCAGACCCCTCTGCACAGGGCTGCCTTCAGGGGAGCCACTATCTGCTGTCTGCACCTGGTAGAGGTAATGAACTGGCATTTCAATAAGTTAGAAATGATTCAAAATTATATTAGAAATATTCTTAGTCTCCCTATGCTTGTCTTTTTTTCTTCAAATAGTCAACAGGGTAGGTGATCAAGTTCTTTTGGCTACATGTAGTATAATGAATTTTCAAACCACTTATATATGATAATAAGTAAGTTACTAGGCTGCATAGTTTAAGTTGTAATTTGCCATGAACATTTTGAAAGACAAGTTGCACTGCTTTTCTTGCTGTGGATTAGAACTACATTTGTGTCTATGAACACTCTGATTCGTAATGTTTTCTTGTGCTGTGCAGAAAGGTGCTAACATAGACAAGAAAGACTTGGAAGGCAACAGTCCTCTCAGTTTGGCTGTCAAGGGAGGACACATCAGGTAATTGTATCTCTGTGTATAGAAATGCCTTTCAGAACTATCAAATAGTTTCAGGTATAATCACCTGTGATGCAGATATAGAATTACTGTGAAGAAATAATGGTGTGATATCATACATACAAGTTTAAGGAAGACCATAAATTCTGTAAGTGAGATACCAAGTATAAGATGCAATGTAACTACATGGCATTAATAAATCTCGGGTACAAATAGCTGTCTCTTGTACTCCTGCTGTCTCTTGAGTGTAACATGAATACTGTCCATGTATGTGTTACAGCTGTGCAATCATGCTGATTCAGAAGGGTGCAGACATCATCAGCCATGTGGTGACAGTACCACCACAACCTCCGGCACCAGAGAAAAACCCAACATGGGTGTGGAAGCCACTGATAAAGCAGCCTCCAAAGTAAGGCAACACCTCTCAGGCTTGTTAATGCAATAAATTTGTCTAAAGCATTTTTTGGTCAGTTTGCAAGTGATGGTGATTCAAGGAATGCTATGATAGTCATTATTGAGGACACCAGTGGGAGATTTGTGCAGTTTGTGCAAATTTCAAAATATGATTATCTTTCTTTTGTGTGTTGTGCAGGGTTGAGAAGGACTCACTGTTCTGTGCTGTAGTAGAGCGAGGCTGGCAGGGTGTGACGTACATCATGCTGGACAGGCTACAAGCCTGCAAGCTTCCTTTCTTTGTGGCCATTGAGGTGAGACACTGTATTCATCTGTATGTACATGTACAAACACTCCCTAGGAGATCCAAACCAGTCTCCAAATTGAAGCCATGAAAACATGACTATGGAATAATGCTATCCTTGCACCTTATATCCAGGGTGCTCTCCATGCCATGAAGTACCGTCTGGTGCTGACCCTAATGAAGAAGGTGAGAGAAGACGTCAAGCTCCAGACAACCAACACCAAACAGCAGAACCTCCTCCATGTGCTGTCTCTCAATGCACCTGGAGATGATGCCACAGACCTACCTGCTAAGGTAAGCAACATCTTCAGAACATTTTTTGTTTAATTTACATGTCTCCTAATACTATTTCTATGTGTCAGTGTAAAGACGCTGATTCTACCGGTAGAGATCCTGATCAGAGTCCTTAAGGCTCCAATCAAGATGCTGTTAATGTGTTAATGTGTGAGTCCTTTTTGATTTACAAATTCTAAATTTCAAGTTGATCCATTTATGTTAAGTGACATGATTCAAAGTTGAAAAGTTCTGGCTGTCTTTTAAGGATATATCTTTAAAAAATAGTTACTTCAGGCTGATGATAGGGCCTTTGGAAACCATTAGCGGACATGGGCATTTGTATAGCTCTGCATCCTCTGTATCAGGCATGTCAGACATACAGTGATCAACTACAGCCAGACACATCAGTTACTTTGTACCTTTTAACCTAAATTGGTGACAGAGAACATCCTTTTCTCCAGGTTGGAGAGGTGCTGCTCCAGAGAGGTGTGGCATTGCGAGCCCAAGATGAAAATGGCTGCACCCCTCTCACATATGCAGCCGTGTCACAGAATGTGTCACTCTGCAAGCTGTTCCTGGGTGGGAAGGATTTTGGTTTCCTAAATCTTAAAATCTTAAATTATACCATGTATGGTATTGAAAAATGCAACATTAAAGATTGGTATGGAAAAATGACATGTAAAAAAATAAATATTATCATATATAGTAGTTGGAACATCTTCTAAGTATCAACATCAGCCATCCAACATTGAGATTGTTTGTATAACATAATGATATCTAAATGGGTAGGAGAATTAGCAGGATTCTTTTCAGTGTGGCAAGACTTCTTTTCTATTTGTTTCATACTGAATTACATTTGTACCTGTCTAAAATTCATGTGTCTTCAGCATTTGCTGAGGATAAATTTTAATAAATTTTAAAAGCGTATACTTCAGCTATGTCTCACATCTCCTTATATAATTTCTGTTGTTGTTGTATACAGAGAAGAAACCAGAGATTGCCAAAGTTCTATTGTCAATGTCCGACAAGAAGGGACGTACCCCGCTGGCTGCACTGCTGTGGGAGAATGTCCTGCTGGACAGAACACTGGAGATTCTCAAGTGAGTTACTGTGAAGTATCAGACAGTCATCCATTACAAAGTGCATTTGTATCAACCATGAGTTAATTGCACATCCAACAGACATCCTGTAATCCAACAAACCTTTAAATTTGCTGATACAGCCATAGTGAAAATTAGACGTGATCTCTCTGACATTGGATATGTCTCTATCATGGGAAAAGTATGATAATAGTTTCTGTACCTCTTCAGGCTGTTCTTGGACTGTGGTGCCTCCCTGAACATCCTGGCTGACTTCCCACGAGTGAACTACCTGTCTATCCAGCACCAGACGGCAGAGGGCACCGTGGAGGAGTACTACAATGGGAACATGGCAACTGTCAAGACCACACCACTCATGCGAGTCATTAATGTCCATGCTATCAAGGCTGAACGACTGATGCTGCGAAGTGAAGCCGATGTCAACCTCAAAGATGCAGAGGGGAGAACAGCCATCATGCATGCTGTCAGAGAGGTAAAATAGTTTTGTATGCTTACTGCTTACTGAATAAGATAAGAACTTGCACTTCTCACTTCTCAAGTTTTGACATCATGGCAAAGGGTCTTGTTGTGAGAAGTTGAGTGCTACCTTATTGTTTGAGAAATCCTTCACTCCTCAAAACATTCTTCTGCTCAAATAGTCAAAAATGTTTTTCTGAACTTTTGGAATTAGTTGCTGACAATTATAATGACTTCAGTGAATGATGATAGATGTACTTTTTTCAGAATGACATCAACTTTGTAAGGCTTTTATTGGATCCCAACTATGTTGAGGAACCAGCCAAACCTCCTGGACTGAAGAAGACTCAGTCTAATGCCTCTGCACGTGGTGGTACTCAACGTAGGCCACTGGCCTTTGGGCTTCAGCAACAGGTAGGGTTAACAATGAGTGACACTTCTGATGGCTAACTAATCTTACCTGGATACAAAACATGAAAACATTGTAGCTTCAGTCAGTTATTGCCTTTGTGACTTTCCCTATGAATTCAGGTGCTTCATGTACCATTCCAAAAGTCTTTTTTCATACTCCACATTACTTAAACATTCTCTTGGTAGGATGAAGATGAAGATGGAGAAGAGGATATGGATGAGGATGATGTTGATGAAGACATGGAGGATGATATAGAGGATGGGATGGATAATGAGGAGGAGATGGACATGGATGAAGATGAAGGAGAGGAGGAGGAGGACAATGTGGATGATGAGGACTATGTCCCTAGTGGTACTGAGAACAGTGAAGAGTCTCAGGAGTCACAAGAACAGCCACCTTTAAGGAAAGGAGGAAGAGGTAGCCATATTTCTTTTTTCCACAGAAAATCTATGATGTACTTTTTGAAGTGTACTTTATTTTCAGGTACGCCTGGGCAAAAAGAATTAGTGTGCTTGTTAGATTTTGTTACATTGAAAATGTAGGTTTAGGTAAACACTACTGTCTGACACTGGACCTGTTTGTTGTAGCAATACACAAGGCAGCAGGAGGACTTGCACCTGCAAAGGAGCTGGTCATGAACATGACTGAGACAATGCTGATCACTAAACCAGGTAGATATGTGGTTTTTGTCATTAGTATGGTAGTTTTTGTTCTTGAATTGATAGAGGAATTGAAAAGTGTAATCGTAGCAATTGTGATTGAAAGATATTTTTTACTCTTGATGATTGATATTGTGTCAGTTATGTTTTCAGTCAGAGAAGTGCAGAAGAAGTTTGATATGGTAGAAGAGTTGATATATGGTGATGGATGTTTTCTCTGTATGTAATTTACAGCTGACAATTACATCAAACCAGACCTTGGAGCCATGGACAACAAGGGGTGGACTGTTGTGCACCACCTTGTACAGCCAATGGAATATGGCAGCTATGAAAATGTGGAAATTCTTGAGCTGTTGCACAAGGAAGGAGCACCTTTGGATGTCAAAGGCAAGTTTGTTAGGGCGTGACTTGTTCTGCTAAATGGTATCTATCAAAGCATCTAAAGAATGAAAGTCAAGAATGCCCCCTGTTGTTAGGATATGCTCACTTAAATGTATGTTTGAATTGTATGTTTGCTCTGTGCCTGTCCGTGGTGCTGAAGTGGTAGTATTACAAAGTTCTTGGTCTGAATAAGGATAGATAGCTTTTCATAGATCACATCTTGAATGCTAATTCCTGTCTTGATTGTGTTGGCCTTACAGACAAGGCAGGCAAAACACCTCTGGATTATGCACAAGGACTTGGCTACATGAAACTGGTAGAGACCCTTCACAAACTCCTGGGAATGACAGGGACATTGGTGGGTATCATTCAACACTTGGTACATGTAACAGTTTACTAGACAGTTTGTATAACATTCAGAAAGAAAGGTGCCAGCTGTGACCCAGGGCATTAGTTATGAACAGGTAGATAAAAGATTAACATGCCTGAAAGCTTACAAGAGTGACAGCAACCTACTGTTGTACATGTAGCTGTTTTGAGATGAACAAAGAATGATGTTTTTTAACTGGTCTCAGTTGTCTCTAACATAACCTGTTGCAGCACACACTGTATAATATATGTTATGCACGCCTGTGACCTAGCTACAGTAAGGAATATTATGATGTCCTTATTCTGTAATCCCAGGTTTTATTTCATGGTAATCAATCAATTACCATCTAACACAACCCTACAGATTCTATGTAATATCCATTCTTCCACATCTCCTCTAGACTTCTCCACCTAAGACTACAGACTGGGATGACGGCATGACGTGGGCCGGTCCTCCTCCTGACTTCAGACAGGATGCTGAGGCCGTGCTGACGCATGTTGAGGAGCAGGAACGGGAGAGGCGTCAGAAGGAAGGGCAGGACTTGGTGGCACTGGTGGACCATCATGCTGATGTGAAGGCAGGGACTGGGTAGGTCCTGCATGTCTTTTTGCTGCGTGTAATTATCACAAAAAAGTTATTATTTCATAAACTGCACTGTCTAACATTTACTGTAGAACCTTGATTGCTCTTAGTCCATTCTAAGACTTGTACTATTTGGTCTGCAGGGAAGTTTTGGTTGACCCAGAACTCAACTTGCCATATGACATGCTGGGAACCAAGGTGGATGTGCAGTATGGCAAATATGGCATGAACAACTTCTACAAAATGCAGGTAAGCCATTTTGTTTACAAGATACAGCAACTTCCCTTTATGGTTAAGTATGCCGTAACTCAAGGTCAATCATGAGCTGGATGGTTTACTGAATGAGTTTTAATCCAGACTACTAGACCCTGTTCATACTAGACTTATATTTAGCGGTTTCAACCGGTTTTTCAAAAACCGGTTTTTATTTAACCTGGTGTGAACGCAAATTAACCGGTTTTTTAGGGGTTTAAATCCGATTTTCAAAAACCACCTCGGGAGGTGGTTTTTGAGGGGTTTTCCCACCGATAAACCTGGTCTGAACGCTAAGGGTTTATTGAACCGGTTTTTGCGTCATAATTCTGGGGTCACAGGGTCAGCATCCTGGCCATGTGCGACCTCCAAGCTTTTTTGATCGCGCTGTTTAGACCGTTTCCACTGTTTTTCCACGGTTTCTCTTCGTTTTTACGATGGAATCAGCCAACGCAACCTGGTCAGTGGACGAGACGCTCCCGATACTATTTTTGGAGAGCAGGAGTTGATCGCCGAATTCGAAAAAGCTGGGGGGAGGGCTCTATTGAGGTCTCTACCGAAACAAAAATGTTGGAGGAGCCTGGTAATGGCCGATTAACCGGATATTCGCTGGACAGGGTTTTTGAAAAAACGGTTTTGTAAGTCTGGTGTGAACGCGACGGGTTTTTGCCGGGTTAATTATTTAGCGGTTTCAACCGGTTTATATAAGTCTGGTATGAACAGGGTCATAGTTTACATTACAAGCTGATCATGGTGAGCTGAATCTACACATGTCTGCCATTCCCAGGTGATTCACCAGAAGGGGAAGGACATGTACATCCTGCTGAACCGCTGGGGTCGGGTCGGGGACTCAGGCCAGTTCCAGCGCACGCCTTTCCTCAAGCCTGAAGATGCCGTCAAGGAGTTCTGCAAAATCTTTAAAGCCAAGACTGGGAATGACTGGAAGGATGTGAAGAAGTTAGTTTATTTATTACTTAAAATGCTTGGTCTTACTGTGGTTAATAGTGAAACAGGTAATGAGTTCTAGCTGTTGCAGCTTTGTATTGACAACAAAACTGTGATTGATTTGTATAGAAATGTATTTACATATCATGGAAAAAGGTTGTGGGGAAGTAACCTGAGAGTACAACTTAGCTGTGTTCCATAACTTGTCGCCCGCTAAATGTGCAGAAGAGAACTTCAATAAGCTGTCTTGTAATGAAGAGAAAATGAATAATAATGCACCAGATTTTGTACAGCGCATTCTGTTTTGTTTTTTTTAAATTATTTTGTCCTCTTTCTCAAGTTTCCAGAAGCAGCCTAAGAAGTACCACCTGGTACCTCTGGCAGAGCAGGCCCACTGTAGGAAGGAGGCAGCTACATTTCCCATCAACCTCAGCAACCAGGCACTGCCTTCCAAGTTACAGGGCAAGGTCAAGGGCTTCATGGAGGAACTGGTAATGATGGGAACTATTCCATCCATAGTGATCAACTTGTCTGTTTGATTTTATATTTGTATCTTTGTGAAGTTCATCAGTGACTTTAAGTACTGTGCTAAGTTGTTTTGACTTCAAGACATCATTGCTGAATGTACAGACTATCCACTAAAAGAAAATTTATGGCTCAAAAACAGATAAGCTAAATACCATTCCTCCTGCAGACCAACCTGCACACCTTCAGTGACAGTATGAGGGTTACTGGAGTGGATCAGTCCATGATGCCATTTGGTCGCCTGAGGAAGGAAGCTATGGAAGAGGGAATGAAACTTCTGGCAGAAATCAAGTAAGTCCATCAACTTTTCACTTTTCAAGTACGTTAGTTTCTTACTTTGTCAGCATTTGTAATTTGGTTTGGCTCTTTATAATGTAATGTCGTGGTTTGTGTGACAATAGGCAGTACTGTATTCCCTATAGGATGCTAGTTTAGTTTGAAGGATACCACATTGTTATGGAAATCCAGTGTGTACTTATATACAACAATCTGTATTATGGTGTTATGAACGGGTCAGATTATTTTGTTAGAGGAGTGTGGTTGACTGAGAGCATTGCATAAGATAAGCTATTCTGTCATTAACTCTTTCAACTGTAAAGGATTCCTCCAACTGGTGATGATAAGGACATCGCAGGTGATTGAAATGTTGTGGAATGAAGGTAAATGAGATGGTCAATGAGCTAGTTAATAGAAGTTCTCTTGTTAACTTGTCTCCATAACTTTGTCTGATATGCATATAAATGACTAACTGTTGATACTCATGCCACTTACAGTACTGTGGTGGAGAAGGCAGAGGAGCAGCAGAAGGAATCCTTCCCAGATGTTGAAAAGTACCAGGAGGACATGGAGAAGGTTAGCAATCTATGGCACCAGACAAGACATCAGTACATTGTTGTTAGGTCTTTCATGTAAAAGAATGTATCCTAGCTTTTGTGGCCTGTTTAGTGAAAACTCTTCCATATAGAGACTAGTTATTTAATATAGTAATTGATTTTGAATTTAGAAAATGTAAAAGATGCTTAGACAGGACTTCACTGTGCCCACAGGTTGCAGAGCTGAGTAACAAGTACTACCAGCTCATCCCTCCAGGCAATTACTCCCATGAGAGGATGGGAGCCCTGGTTGATCAGCGTGCCATCAAGAAGGAATTTGAGAAGCTGTCCAGCCTAATGGACCTGGAGGTGGCCAGTAAGGTGCTTGTGGGTGCCCATCACAAGAGGGAAGGTAAGCATATTGACAGGTCTCTTTTGGTCAAATTTAACAACTATTAGAGCAGTTGTGAGTTGTTTGGTGTTATGACAGCAGCAAAGGCATCATTGAGAAAACAAACACACAATCTGTAGCACATATATTATATTATATTTCTGTTTTATTTAAATAGGGTAGAGACCTCAGTGCTATTTAAAAACACTGCTTTTCAGGAATGCCTTGTGACAACAAGTTACACATGAAAACAATGAAACCAACACATTAAACAACACATAAAGTTACAAAACAACCAAGCATCAAAACAAATTCGTTAACCGTAAATCAATGTCGTTAAGCCACATATATATTAAACAGTGATATCCTCCCATCATCTTTCAGAGGTGAATGCACTAGACTATGTCTACAGAGCCATTGGATGCCAGATCCAGTTGGTGGACCAGGAGAGTGATGAGGCCCAGTATATCCTCAGATACATCCACAACTCAGGTAGTACCTTTCTAGATATTTCTTCTTGTCCAATTTAAAATGTGGCTGCCAAATACTTTTCATAAAATATCATGTATTGTAAAGAGTTAACTGTTGTGACAATGGTGGTGTTCAAAGACAATAATGAAATTTTTGTTGCAGACAATAAAGCAAATGTGAAGGCCATCTTCAGACTAGCTCGTCCAGGGGAGACGGAGCGGCTGTCCAACTGTGGAGTGGGGAACAGTCAGCTGCTGTTCCATGGCAGCAGTCCCACCAACATCATCAGCATCCTGCACAAGGGCCTGCTGGTGGCCCCGCCTGAAGCGCCTGCATCAGGATACGCATATGGCAAGGTAAGAACGTGTTCCCGTGGAGTCACTCCCCTGTCATAATTACAGGAGCAGATACATGTGCTGTTGAAGTGTCAGCTTGTGAAAGGAAGTACGTTTTACATGTCTTGTACCTCACAAGATACTGACATTAAGTGATTTTCCAGTTGAGAAGAGTACATAAATGCTGAGATATTTGTTGTATGGATAGGATTTAAGTAACATGGCAACATGGTCACAATTCTCTTTTCTCTGTCTACAGGGCATCTACTTTGCTGATCAATTTGCCAAGAGCAAAAGCTACTGTTACAACTTTGGGTCATCAAGCAAAACTAAATTCATGTTACTGTGTGAGGTTAGTCTCACCATGTTGTATTTTGCATTTCATCAGCAAATCTAGCATTTGGTCTACCTTCTTTAAGCACGAATCATTGTATCTGTATTTTGCTACGGCTATCTACAGTACATGTTGTAAAAAATGACTGAAAGTTGACAAACTACTTTTACTGAATGCTTCAAATTATGATTAAATGAAACACTGTGAAGTCATTTTGACATGTTTTCAATCTCAATAACAGGTTGCCCTTGGAAACTCGAAAGGCCTGAACAACCCCATGTACATGGAGGCACCTCTTGAGGGTTTCCATTCCACCAAAGGTTTGGGCAGGAGGGAGCCACTTCCAACAGGGAACATCACAGTCCAACAAGGTACATGTATTGCTGTTCTTACTCAGTTTAAAAAATCAACCCTACTGTACATAAGCATGGTCATGCTAGATCATACACATGTATTGTGACTATATAACAACAGTAGATCTACATAACTACATTTCCATATCTTTCCAGGTGTGACCATTCCTTTGGGTGAGATTGTTGACGCCCCACCAACTGATGAAAGTCAGGGTTACCGGTGGCAGTACCTTTATCACCATGAGTACATCGTGTATGACCCTGCCCAAGTTCGACTCAGATACCTTGTCCAGTTTGAGGACTAGAAGTACCTGTTCTGTATGGAAGTGGCAGGAAAAAAATCTTTAGAATATATAGTTACTGTACTAGTCTCGTGATCTAGGCAGAAACAGATTTGGTGCATGAATGAGCCTTTTTAATAGCAGGCAGAAGAGTAATGCTCACATAATAACAAAAACATTTTGGGAAAATTAGAACATCAGTTACAGATGTCCAGGAGAAACGTGTATCCATGTCTATTAAGAATTGGTACATGTAGTTAATCCCAGGCACTGTTTGCTGCAGTCTCCACTAGTATCCTGTATATTTGCATTTTAGACAGAATTACAGATGCAAAACTTTATCAAGGATTTACATTTTTAGATGGTAATTGTTAGTGTGTCAAGCCTGATTTAGATTTTAGATACTTTCAGATTGGCCTGATAAAATTACTTAGTGGCCTAGAAGTACAGTAGCCCCACAAAGGCCTGGCATTGGAAAATTTTATGTAACAACAGACTGCTTTAAGATATTTTGCTGATAAATCAGTCACATGAAGTGAATGTGGTGTGAATCACAGTAATGTTGAGGAGTGCATACTGATTTTATGAACTAGTCACTTTTGGGAATTTGTAGAACAGTATATACATGAGAATGTATTTGTAATTGAAAATACAAATGTAGTACCAGTAATTGTGAAAATGTAACTGTTCATTGCTAACTGTACCTGAAAGTATGAAGAAAGATAGGATTACAGCTCTGTTCAAGTCAGTACTGTCATATTACAATGGTCAACACATTTGGCCTAGTTTTGTAATCTTATGATTACACTGGCCTAGCAAGTAGCAGGATATGATAGTGAAGATTTTGAATAGCATTTTTTCATTACTAGACTCAGGTGCTTTTTGTAAGTTTGATACCCATACTTTTTTTTACATAATTTTGAAATTTTCCCATTCTTCACTTAAGCATTAGCTCATGCTTTATTGCACTAACAATATCATAATGAAATCAGACATAACTTTCCTGTAATTACAACAGTCCTGCATTCTAAGAAATATCCTGGAAGTATATGTTTTGTTCAGAACTTCAGATACATTTATATGTGCATCAATGGGATAAGACCAAGTCAAGTAATGTGAAATGTTGCTTTTAGGGCAAGGCTATGAACAAACCCATTATATTGCAAGCACTGCATCATGTATGCTGTCAGTGCTTATGCTGCTCAGGGCAGTCTCAAAGACTAAAAAAGCCTGAGACAATGTACATGGAATATCTTGTCCCTATACATTGTACAATCTTACGTTTTTGCTACTTTAATTGATACTAGTGCCATTCCTGCCATCTTCATGAAATAGCTTGCAACTTACTGGTGTAGCTGGTGTAACCCAATATTGTAGAACCACTTTGTTATACATGTAATTAGGTGTGCTGTTTACAATGCATCTTGAAAGTCATCAATTTTTTGCAAAGATGTGGTTTCCTTGGAAGTGAAGAATGGTACTCAGATCTAGAGGTGAAGTGTATGAACAACCCATAAATTTCAGAGCCCATTCTTGTGTTACAGCATGTTCTGGTACATGTATGCACAGCACTTGCCCAGATCTTTTCTTACAAAGCAGGTGTTGTCTGTACAGGTGACTTGTGAGTGGCAGTTTTTGCCACCTGCTTGTCTTTAGTGTTGGTGTGTAATGCAGCTTGCATTTCTAAATCATGATGCCAAAAATGAGTGTCCACAAGCAGGGGAGAGCGCGGCCTTGCCTTGCCACTGGATAGGGTTGCCTGGAGATGCCGAGTAAAGACCAGTACTACTAGCCGATCTACTGCAGACCCCTGTGGCAGGGACACCAGCAGCAGAATAATCAAATCCTGGATAGTGAGTGACAAATTCTTGTCAGCTTTTATGTGACACTGTCTGGTTTCAGCTGAAGTGAAACATGTACTTACCAACAACTCAGTGTATAATTCCTGTGTACCAGAGATCTTGGAGTACCACAAGACAACATTGATAGATGAAATACCCAATCTGAGTTTGATGACCAGTGACCACTACCTGGATGTAAAAATGTGTTTAAATTGCCACTGGTAACAACTGTATTAACTTGGTAAACCTTAGTCATCTATATAAAGAGGACTGTCATCATATTGATCAAATTTGTTACAGTAGATCTAACAGCAGACCAATAAATTGCACTGGAACTGCAAGATCTTTGTTGTCCTTTCTTCACTTCATTATATATATAGGCCATGCAGCCAAAAATGTAGTCTTGCCCTTTAGGTGAATATCCATACATGTATGTCCACAAGTTCTGTGCAAAAATAATATTGTTCTTATTATTGTGGTGCCTTGTTCTTTCGAATCTAGATGACTATTTTTAAACTGGACTCAGAAGGAAATAAAATACTGGTATCATAAAATCAGTCATAGGTAATTTCACACAAGGCATTGGTGGGTATCAACCATTGGTTTACTTATCAATTGATACATCTACATCAAGATTGACCAGATTCCAACATCTTAATAATAAAACAAAAGAGCGAGACTGCAGACAACAGGGAAGGTGTCCTTGACAACATCTCCATGACAATGACTGATAGGAAGATCAGATTACATCATCACACTACATCAGACAAACGTACTTGTATATCATACACAAGATTCAATATCTCAGTCAAGGGAAGCATGTACATAAATGTACATCCAATTACATACGTATATAGTTTGTGCTACTGGACTATAGCTAACATCTAATTACTTGTGCTCAACAATCCTCCAACTGCAAATCGCAATACAAACAGTAAGAAACAGTGCTAGCTTATCTTGCTTTTTAAGTCGCATAGTTTGTTTGGGCTCATTGACTTGTTTCATCTTAATCACCGCTGAAAACTTTAAGCTTGAGTACACTTGACACTACATCGATTGACCAGTGCTTCACTGTCTGACAAGTCATGCAAAAACTGATGAAGCACTTCCAGTCCTCCACGTTTACCCCATTAAGCACCTCAACCACAGTACGCACTCAGCAGAGAGAGTTAACTATAATTAATTACACAAGCTGCCTCCATCAGGAATCTGACAGCACTGTCATTTATCAAAGTAAGAAATCTCACCAGTGAATCACACTGAAGTTGCACTATTAGACCCTAGAAGACAATTCTTCACAAAAGGCATACTCTCAAAGGTGGTACATTGATTACTATTATCATTGTTATCGATCAGGCTGTACTTATACAAGCTCTTGATGTTACTCTAACAATAGAATGATAACTGCTGGCAGCTCGAGGCTCCTTTCTTCTTCCTTCGTCTCCGTGGCATTGCCTCCTTTTGTTGCATCTTACTCTTCCTTCTTCTTCAACAGGGGCACTTTATCCTTAACCCTGGGGCAAGAGACATCCCATGGCATTTTAGATACTTCACTCTAAGAAAAATCATGCACTAGAACCCAGTAGAAGTCATATCAGTAAGTTCAATAATTGTAACCACATGTGACACGCTTTGCTTCAAAATGACATCATTAACATGGGGTGTTTAAGAAGGGAGATTTCACATACTTGCTGACGACTCCATCGATCTGCTCCTTGGCCATACCTACGTACTGGTCAATCTGTGGCTGTGGGAGGCGAAGTTCAATAAATATGTTAGTAAAGATAAAATCACACCAAAGAATGCATATTGGAGTTGTCTGAGTCAAAAAGTGGTTTGAGCTGTTTGAAGTTTGACATGATGAAGTAGAAAACCTTGATGTGCTCACCTGGTACAGTTCATAAACCTTGGGGAGGGTGAATGCACCGACCAGAGCTGTGGAGACAGAATGCATAACTTTCAACAAAATACATGCAAAACACTGATTCACTAAATAACTCACAATACTATTTATATACCAGAAAAGGACATTGAATATACATGTTTGACTTTCAAGGTTTTTGATTGGTCAAAACAAAAACTAGCACTAATTTGCGTTAATACTGCAGGCCCTTTTGCCTCCCATCATTTGGTGATAACCAGCAGTATACTCCTTGTCTCTATTGCATACCATCATCATCTCTAGTGAATATAATACATGTAACATAAACACTTACCCAGAATCATGAGAGTCATTCCATTGAACCAGGCACCGACATAGGTCAGCAGCCACATCAACACCGCAAACTGGGAACAAGAATCATCCATCAGAACCAAGTCATAGCTGTAGGATTTACTAATATCTCATAACTGGTCTTACTAGCCTCTCTGAAGAACATCCTGACTCAGTGTAACTTAAGGGGGGAGCATTATTCATTTTATGGTAGCAGGGAGTAATATATGATCTCATAAAATTAAATTAGTGAACCATGTCATGGAAAATTTGGGCCCCACAGATATTAGTTTCAATCATGATAATACAGCCAGAGGCACATTAGTCAAGAATGACCATGTTCTCTGCCTGCTGCTCTCTCATCTTATAGTCATCAGGGTCACAGAACTGACCTTTTCTTCTCTACATAATACCCAGATGTGGTCCCAGCTCTCCCATAAAACCACTCACACAGGGCATGCATACATAAATCTACTGCCTTGGTGTGATAAATCAATGTGCTCATAGGCACGAGAAGGTGAGGGCTAAAAAAAGCAGGCTGTGGCCGACAGCCTAAGTATGATGTTTATTTTCATTTGCTTGACTAAATGAATCTGTCCGCTCTAGGTTCAAAGCACCCAGTGTACCATACCTTGACGGAATCCACGAGGTCCTCCACGAGGATGAGCCGGCGAACGTCATTGGTGATGCAGTTGACACGGCTCAAGACTTTGTCCGAGTACTTGTTCAGGGTGTCGGTGGAGATGTTAATGTCCTGGTCCAGCCACTCCCTGTTGTCATAACAACACACAAGCCTTAAAGCAAGCCCTTTTATATTGTCCAGTCTAAAACACCACATTATGTATCATTTTGACATGTTGATACAATAGAGGCCTGCAGTCTGACCTGTAGGTTATTGACCTTGACCACAATATAGTGACAGCCATTTCAACACTATCTGTGGACCTGACTACCAGTAGTTGGAACAGTTTTCAGTACCTTATAAAATTTCTGTTGGAATTCGGGTGCCTGCAGACAGGTACGTTTGTGTTACCTGATACACCACAAGGGCTTGTATGTGGTAGAGAATATGCTAAATATGCCTGGCTTGCCTCTTATGTAATTTACCATCATAACCATACTCTAATAGACAACTTCTTCCATATGAGACACATCAAAGCATAATGGACTCTCTAATGACAAGAAACAATTGCATCATTGTTTTAGCTGTATACTGATTTGTTAGAACGGAATAAAACTTCCATCCATAACTACACCACTGGAGCTGACTGACATCTCATCCTGTTTCATGTGGGTCCTACATTTACAAGCAGCTGCTGGGTGCCATTTGGATCAAGGTCATCCTGTGCCCCATGGAACTATGTCAAGTTTCTCATTACCAGACCAGACCCCGTGACACAGTGATACTGCTGCTATATATGGGAGGAGGACAAAAATATCCCACATCAGGGTGCACCCAGACATGGTCATTACCCGACACCCAGGCATGGGCCCTGCAAATTAACTGTACATCCATACTGATAAGCCATGGTACCACAGGGCTATAGGACTCACAAGATAGACTAATCTCAGCTATCAATCAAAAACAGTAGACTTAATGAGCAGTTGAGCAGGTTAAGTTTTTGTTTTGCATATCAATTGGAGGTGGGCAGGGCTATACAATCACCTATTTAGTTAAATTAACATATTCATTCAAAGTTTTCAGCCAGCACTCTATCAAAATGTGACTTGTCAGATGTTTTTTGTTGAAAATTTGTGACCTACATTATTCTAATTTAAAAGTTGCTTTTCTTCAGTCATGAGAAGAAATGTAACTGTTTAGAAATTAATCTTGGCAAATCATTACTTCAAATACACAGACTATTTTCATACCTCTTCACAGTTTTGTCTCACACCCATTTACTTGCCATGTACTTACTTGAAGGGGTGTCCATCATTGCTCTTCTGCACAGCATTGAGCACATTCTTGTAGACGCGGAAGCTAATTGTTACAGTCAGCAAAGCAAGGATGAGGTAAGCGACAACAGACAGCACGCTGTAGAAGGTGAGGGACAGCAACAACACCAGCAGGCCTCCGAACACCCCTCCAGTCACCTTGGGGTCCTTCCAGTACACCAGGTCCAATACTGCAAGTTGGACAGAACACAGTCATTAGTATAAAGATTTATATCTTCTGTTGTATTTATCACTGTAACATCAAAACCAACAGTATTTCCTCCATGATACATTTTTAAAGTAGTAATACAACAAGAGCAAAATGCAGTTTTACAGATCTCTCCATGAAAAGGACATTACAAGGTCCTGTCTTGTACAGACTCCCCTTGACATGACCCAATGCAGCTCCAAACCAGTTCTCACCAGGCGTCCAGAAACACAAGGCACATGCTGCAAATAGACACCCAACATGCCAGTGGTTTTCAGCAGTGGTTGGACATGAACATTTAGAAAATAGTTTGAACAACTTTGTTATTTCACTGTGAAAAAGACATATTTGAATCAAATGACATGATATTGGGCAATCAATAATGTAGAACCTTAATTGCTTACAGCAAATGCATTCATTTTGTATTTTCTATCACATACACTCATGACCCATTCGGAGGTGTATATGTCATGAGGCCTGACCTGTACCCAGAACAATGGCACAAACCACAAGTTTGAAATGAATCAAGCAAACAAGGTGGCTTATGCAGCACTTATAGGAACCAAACAGGCCTGATGACAAGAAAAAACACTGTGGAAAAGGAGATCATTGATGTTATATCCATAATGCCAAAATTGCTTAACTACTTTGACCAGGACCAAGCCAATGTTTGAATCCAAATACTGGTCATTTGGGAATACCGTTATTGCAAAATGGTCATCAGCAGAATACAGTGCTGTACTGAGGTAACGACATCATTAAGCCATATCGCCTCATCTCTTGGTAATTACACCCAGGTGAAGACAAACTGAAGTTGGGTTGTTACGGAGAGTGCTTGAAGCAGGCACACCTGCAACAGTGGCATGTTGTCTGAAAGCTTCAAGAGGCCTGTCTGCTTTTATTCGTCTCCAACTAATGATAGACTTAACAGTGACTGCCTCGGGCAGAAGCAAACAGCATCACACTTTGTACCTTGTACAATTGTCGTGCAATTAAGTTTAACAGACAGTTATCTGTAAAGTCATCCTTACTGACTGCCCATCTGCTTCCATTGGTGAACCATGGGTGACCATCTGTGCTAAATAGTGTTGGAAGAGAAATTCATGTTCCCATGCATGTTTCACTGCTACCAGGGTTTGACAAAACACGGCTTACTACGGCAATCTAATAATGTTCTGTCCTGAACATATAGTATGTGCTGCAAAATGAACCTTTACTTAACTGCCCACCATAATCTGTATCAAGTCAGAGATAAATTTCCATACAGATTTTTCACTGTTGGGAGCATCTGAATTTGACAGGCCCATATTGAACCAGGAGGCAGTTTTCTTAAAAATGTCAATAGTATGAAATATCATTGTAGAGCCTCTGCAAACATACATGGTATAGTGGCTGAAAAAAACTTATTTCAATAATCCTGCCACAGGGAAGGCAATAATTGCTCTGTCAGACTGGCCTAATTTGATGTATTGGCTCTAACTTTAGTCTTCAGATCTGATTAGAAGGAAGATAGGTTATCAGTTCTTGCAGTATGTGCATAATTTCACAGTAATTATTGCACTGGTACCTTGACAACTGGGCTATGTACTTACTTGCCATAAAGACTATTGGACACAACAGCATACTGGTGTAGACAGTATATACTATATATCTTAATGTACAACAGTAATGATTTACACCATTGATATTACACAGACTTAAGATGTTCAATCTGTTTTACCTGTAACCTTTTACTGACCCACGTTGAGTTAGCTTGGATTCTTTAGATCAGAAGACTGAAGCCATACCTGGTAAATCTGAAAGGTCTCTACGAGGGATAGTAATTTAGGGGAGCGATACTGCCATAAAAAATAAATGACCTACAGATGCTGAGCAGAAGGCACACAAATAAATATTATGTGATAAGCAGCAAAGTGGGCAACGAAGGGATCACAGACTGCTACAGTAACTGTAAGCAACAGCACAGCAAGTGCTGCCCAAAAATCCATTTGCATGAAAACAGCCTACCTCTGGCTGCCGTTGTAGCACCCTTAGCATCTCCGCTAGGTTCAGCGTCGGCTATGGCGATAAACAAAGACACAGTTGGTCAATCCTGATAAGGCATACATAGCAAGCGGGTCTGTGGAGCTCCGCGCATATGGACCAGTCTGATTGTAGATGGCTGTTGCCACAGTGCAGGAAGCATCCTGGCAATGTGGCAGAGATCTTAAACAACAGGCCCAATATCACTTTCATGATAAAATCTTCAACGAAATTAGTTACTAGCTTGCTGACATCATCAATCAAGAACATATGAATAAATCAATCATATATTAAAAAATTCAATAATTAAAAAAGTTTAACCAACTTTATGATAAGCTACATGGCAAACAAAAACACAGGGTTAAAAGGAGTTACAATCAAATGTCACATGGGGTTAGAGATACACTGCAAATTAGGGATACCAAGGAATACCACACAAAATGACATGTACAAAAACAAGGCACAACCACACAAAAGAAAGTGATAATGTTGACAGATTGTAGCTTAGAAAACCAAGTTTAAATCAAAAGTGTACAATTCCTGGGACGATATGAACTAAGCATGCTGCAGTATCATACATAATGTCAACCATAATAGGCAGAGTGAGATTTTATCAGTCACGTGCTTGACAAGCCTCATCCTTCCATGCAACCATGACACAGCAGAATATCACATGTTCAACATGTAAGAGATGATTGCATTCCACTTAAGAATTTAACACAGTATCATATTCATATCCACCGTTCATGTATTAAAAATGACATTCCAAGTTCCAACTCATTTCTGTGCAGCCTTAATCCTTCTCCAATTAGGATTTATTGTACAGCCATATTTTAACTAGCACTACTTAAAATTCTGTCCTGCAAACATGCTCCGAGTATAAGATCAGCATGGCAGGCAACATTGAACCTAAATTATCATTTCATATATACATATGTGCAGTTGATGATGATAGCAGCATAACAGATACTGGTGTTATTCTGTTTTGTGAATGTAATAAACCAAATGTAATAAACCGGACACTCTCAACACTAGACTGCAGCAACGTCCCCACACAATGCAGCGACGGCTATAAAAACCCTGCTACAGTTAATGTGTGCCTCCATGCCAAACCTGTGAGCATCCCTGGAACTACAGACAGTAGGAAGCATGTTCGCAAATAACTGTAATTTGGCTGGCTGATTGGCCATTCTATCAGCCTGGGGGCTATTGAAAGATGACAGTTTCTCCTCTGATATAATATACAGGCAACCTAGGGGGAATGGAATATTACCTATTTAGTGTTCTGCGCATTGGGGCCCAGTAAGGGTTGGGGATTTTACCTGAATAATACAATCAAATACGCTGTACATCTCAGGCAGTTCCATACCTGTAAATTTGATACAATTATTGCTTGTAATAGTATCATTTCATACATTCTGCATTTCAATTTGGACCTGCTTTTATTGCAAATATGGAAATGCAAAGAAATAACTTATCACCATGACCTAACCATTAAATATGCAAAATGGCTCATAAAAAATTAATTGCCGCCCATATACTGTTCTACTAATTGCACAGGGTCAGATGATATCAAGTACTGACATGAACCAGGGACAATGGCTTAGCAATACATGAAGTAGTTTGTCTTCAATGATAAACTGCTTACTGCAAGTCAGCTCCTTGCTACATGTTATCAGCTTACTCTTGTCTGAATCCCCAGACATATTGATAAATCTATTCCTGTCTAAACTAAAATTACTGGTTCAGTGTACAATATCCTAGTCTTACTGTATTGCCATTATGTTGTCCAAAATACAGAATGCTCTATATTATCGTCCTAGTTATGATCTCATATTCACTAATTTTTTTAAGATTCTGTACAAACAGCATTTTTGTCATTTTACTAAAATAATGTATGCTATTATTTGAGTCTCCAATTTAAAATAATATGACAAACACACGAAATGGGTTGGATACATGCTGCTTTTGTCAATGGACAGCTTGATGGGGTACTCATATACAGCTAACAGTTACTCCCATGGGGCTTAGGTAGCATTAGTATTACATGACATTTCCACATGAATGCTGGCTGTTCCCAGAATAGACTTCATCCATCCATGCCGGCAATACATGTAGGTCCATGCACTAGCTGCTTTCAATGGGACTGGCCAGATAATGCAGTCAGGCACTCATGCAAATATCAGGTACATACATGTATTTTAAACACCCATGATGTATTATATCTATACTTCAGAAAGGCAAGGTACATGTGGTGATATAACAACATGAATACAATATATGACAAAGGTTTAAGTATAAGAAGGGTTGAGGCAATTTTCTTGCTGGAATAAACCCTTACTCAAGTTACTGTTTAGGTAACGTAGTGAAGTGAATTATCATTTGGTAATTGAAGCTTTAGGTCCATACATTGATATATATTGCAATATGATCATGGTTCAGTCCTTGAAATGGAGAAATTGGTAATACATGTGTCTATCTGACAGATGGCCAAGAGTTGCCCCAGAAAATCTTAGTACTGAAAACATACCTACCGTATATCCAAGCATGCAAAATACTGTCATGGGTCAAGCAACTACCAGGTACACTAGTTTAGATAAGCATTTGACTTGAAGTAGCCTCCAGCATGGCTTACAGGAATTTGCCCCACCCTTCACAAAGACACGCTGCTTCTGAGCATGGTGTTCACTTTGCTTGTTCCTGCCTTGTCTATTTTCTTACTGATTATTCCAGTACATACACACCAGCAGAACATAACCACTAACATATTTTCATCAACCAAAGACTATAGTTTACATCAAATCTACACATTTAACTTCAGTTTCCAGTACAAACCTGTGCTCCCTGTAGCCGCCATTTGGCCCCGGTAAATCCTGACAGCTGTTCAGTCTTTTCATGCCCAAAACTGACCGAGTTTACCACTGCAAAAATAGTACAGCCTTAGCAGCCTATGGGTCCATTGCCCCCCTCCCATATTTCCATCTCAAGAATGTACCATGTGCACCATGTCCTTCATGTTACAATACAATTCAAATGCTTTAGTTTTCTAATTTTTCATGGGGTTATTTCCCTTAATAAAAAACATGGCCAGTCATTAAGAATCAACATTGTATGAAACAGAATATTTGAAATCATTTTAAATTAAACACTGACACTAATGACACAGATAAGACCTCATTTGTGAAATATCTGATATCATTTGAAGTATTTGTTCTTTTATCTTTTCCTGTAATTCCTCCAGTTCTAACAGTCAAATATGATAATTTCACATCAATTTAAGTCTATGAAGACATCCACATATATGTATATAGTTAGATGAATCACTCTTCCAAGTTTTGATTTAATAATTCACCATTCCTTGACAGATGGAAAACCTCACACTACCCAATAAGATATCATTATAATTAACTGAAACCTCACCATGCGGATGGCCTATAAAAAAAATACGAAACAGAAAATCACAATCCTGAATGCTAATAAGACTACTGACAAAACTGTTCTTCAGCTGCAATAAACGTATTAATTGTGCAGCACATAATTATGAACCTTCGGTTAAGTACTTACTCAATTTTAGATGATGAATGACTGTCACATTGCCAATTAAAGCTGGCAGATCTGCCAAATTGTCATTATGGAAAGCTTGAGGATGGGCGAAGGAGGGCAATTAAAAAAACAAGGTGGCTTAGTAGACAGGAAGTTTGCGCAGTGAGCTATATTTTTTTTCAATGCCAAGTGCTACACCTTGGAACTGACATTATATTCCAAAATGCTGATAACATCATAGATATTTGAATAAATTTACGATTATCTAATAACATGATTTAATAATGCCATGTTAAGCACAGTACAGGTAGATGTAACATTTGTTTCAATCTGTGCAGAAATGATTAGGAAGCTTGAAACATGGCATTACATAGAAAATCTCAGTTATTATACTTTTTCAGCCATCCAGGAAAAAAAATATTGTATATGGCATTATGTTACTTAATCATGGGAATCCTGTTAGGCTCCAGTAATAATGATTCCATCAGTACTACAGCAGGGAACACTGCTCCTGTACACTCCCTTCTAACATTTGTCACTGTCAAGTCAGTGCAGTCACGCGCCTGCAGTCATGTGACACCAGGAGCTGCACGTACAACATAGCACACCTAATGGCTATGAGAAAAACATGATCATTTTACCCTAGAATATAGCATTAATTACAGCCAACAGAAGTTTAAGCTGATGTATAAGATACAAGTCTGCAAATATCATATTGAGTTAATAACAATATCATTTTTTGTTGGAGGGAATGTTTCATGAAATATCAGATTTGAGCCTCAGTCACAGTATATGTTTTATCTGTTATTTATTTGTTTGTGTGTAAGGAGACTATGCAGAACAGAAGACTGATCCTGGGGCTGAATATTAAAAAAAATGCAGTATAAGTCACTATGGAAGTGTTTTTTCTATGCTACAATAGAATTCCATCTTGAATTTTACATGTTGCCTGAGGTGGGCTAGCAATGTTTATAACATCTCCTAAGGGGACAAAATGGCTGGCTCAATCTGCTCTCGTCAGTCAGGTACATACTACATGCCATCCTCATGCCCACTAAATTAGCTTGTAACATGCAAGTTCAGACATCACATACCTTTGACAATATCATGTATATGATATGACTAATTTTCAAGAAAAGGCACCCAAAGAATGCAGCTGAGTTTGTCTGTATACGTTGATATGGAATGTTATCCCATCCATTGCCACACCCTTCCATTATCTTCTTGTGGTACAGGCTTAGCTGTCCATTTTCTGGCACATGTCCTATTTCATTCTATATTCCTAATATTCTTAAATCTATGTCTCTATGCCTTATCAACTGTGAAAACCATGTCACTTCAATTTTTTTCAAGTTATATGAATAATCTGTACCAGAAGGAATAGCTTCATCACTCTGAATGTACCAAATATCCATTAATGGCCTGGGGACACACCACCACCAAAGCACAAGGACACCTAGCAGCAAGGTTCATGCCCTGATACAATCTGAACCCAAGAGACAGCATTTCTGCTGTTTCGGCTTTCCACTGTTCACCCCTCAGTATTCAATATGATTTTGTACTAATTAGTAGGCAATGTAAACTGTATGCTAGACATTCAAATTACCCATTCTCTTCTTATTTGAAATGCTTGGGGTTTTGGGGCATCAATTGTAGGAAGAACTGGGAAGCCCACCCCTATCACTATAGACAAACCCTTCCATGCTGTAACATGATTTGCCAGTTTACATACAAACCATGGACACAAAACATAAAATACTCAAGGATGGAGGATCTGATTTGTTTTTTCAGTACTACTGCAAGCTCTTAGCAGCAGTTTGCCACTGTGGCAATGGCTAAAAAGCATACTACATGGCAGCAGTGTTGCCTGAGAGGAAAAACAACTCATTTAAAATTCTACTCACATTGCCATGAAATCTCTTGTGGGGTGCCTAATACTAATACATTTTCATAGCACAAATACTAGTAATTAGGAGGTCTTCTGAGTAAAACTACATATATTGACTCATTAACTGTATCTCTGCATAGATATGGACACATTTTATAAAAGACACCTGGGGCAAGGTATAACAACAATGGACAGGAAAGGAGTTAAGGACAAGGCTATGTTGAAGAACAAATGAACATCATTAATTTGATATTTTTTGCCATTACCTAATTCTGACATACATTTGGTAGTTTTACATGTGTTAATTTAACATATTTGTGTGGAATAGCTAGTAGTAACTGCTTTTTCCCAGATTTGTGTGGAATAGCTAGTAGTAACTGCTTTTCTCCCCTGATTTGTGCGTAATACTAATAGCTAGTATTGACTGATTTTCTCCAGACATAACAGGACAGCGTAACTAAGCTGAGGAGACCAGTATACTAACCTATCTCCAAATCTTGTGAAATATAGGTCAACCATAGAATGTCTTGTGTGAAAACCAAGCCATGGGTCAATGTGACAAAAAAATAGGTCTACGGTATTTCAAAGTTTCAAACTGAAGAGTAGGCGATTTTTAAATTCACTGTACAAATAATAAATACATGATCATATAAATATTCCGTTCGGATGACAGCTTTTCTTCAATCACTTATAAAAAAAAAAGTTATTCATAAAGGAGATGTGATGTACATCCATAGTGAAAGACAGATGAGTTGACATATGATATGTCGCAAGGCCACTTGCATAAACTTATCATTCTGGTGAATTTGCCTTGGCGTTGATACAAGTCTATTTTCAGCTGGCTGCATGTGGGTCACTTATGCGGGAGACAAGATCTGAAGGATGGTACAGAAGTTACAGAACACTAATCACAACATTAATTTCCTAAGGATGGAAACTGAACAAGTATGAAAACAATATTTCCATACTAGCTAACACCCGTCACAATTCATCATATTTCTTGTGTGGACTTGACAGCAGGGACAGCTGGCCACTGGGAACTTGAAATGATTGAGATATTTTTTCAGCTGAAAACAGTCAGTACTGAGTAATTAATGCAGCAAACACATCCAGATTAGACCTAATTGGTGCATGACACAATAGGCTTAACCCTCTACTGGAATCCTGCCAACTGGTTGGTTGGAGGTCATATGACTATGACTCACACAGAAACCTATCCCTCTTCCAAACACCTGAGACTTTGTTTACTGACCTCCATTAGTGTAATGACGCAACACCAACTGCTCCTTTCCTACGGCCTACTTACAAAGTTATATGAAGAGCAAAACAATAAGATGTAGTGTTCAGAGTTGATCTCTGTTTGGTCTAAGAATGTTGTCTCCTGGTCTGACCTATTTACACCAGACTGGAAAATCTTCAAACAGGTCAATAACCCCTGATCAGTCGTCTCACCTGTAGGCTCAGACACTTGGACACACAAACCTGTGTCAAAAGGCAAGCAAAATGGACTACGACATGGGAATGGAGTTCAATGGACAACTTAGAACAGGGATCTCCCATGACTATATTGTAAAGTCTTAAATCTACATAGCAAAGAAATCTGTTCATCTCACAACCTATGTGTTTCTTTGTAAAATTTGCTGACTTCCTAGATAGATCAAAACAACCTTAAAAAACTGCTACCAAAAACCATCTGTCAAAATCCAACCAGTCAAGCTGTACTGAATTTGTACAAAACAAATTTACCACAGCACAGACAGCTGCATCTTTCCAGAAAATTCTACTCCAAAATTGTTCATGTCCAGTGAAATGTGACAATCTTGTTCATGTCCAGTGAAATGTGACAATCATGCACAAACTTTTTAATCACTGTCCCACATTGTATCGAACCTTGCACCATAGCTAGCCACACCCAGGCATGGCCCAGACAGTCTAATGATGCATCATCCCATGGACAAAACCCAAGTCACTGTCAGGCACAACTTAGATATTGTGGGAATCTGGAAAAACAGGTCTGAGGTGCAACAGAATAGTAATATTACCGGTGATTTTGATGTCAGAAAGGGTGCTACATGTTACAACATGAGCAGGTTGTAGTGCTGGTTGAGGTAGTGCCTTGTGTTACCTGGCTGAACATGAGAACACACACAGGTACAGGGTGAACACACAAGCACTGTGCATTAGTTTGTGCTGCAAGTGATCACACTTCTGAGCCTGCACTTCATGAAGATGGCACACAATGTTGCGACAAATATTAAAATATCATCTTAAAATATTAATCATTAATCAGCTGTTACCTCTGGGATCGATGTTCTGGGACTCAAGCCATTTTGAGCCTGAAAAGGAAGTAAGAGATATCTTTCAGCCAGCAGCTCTACTGCACCATCAGCACATTAGTAGGTTGAGCAGCACATTAGAACAGAGTTAGTATTACAATCACGTTCTAGCTGGCCATTTCCTGCCTTTAGTTGCTCTGCAGAGCAGCTGTCTGCAGACATTTCATTGATTTGCATGCATTCTAATGCCAGATGCTTCGCAGCAAAGAGAGGTTATTAGAGCAAAACACATTAAGCAACATCTAAATCGTTTCATTCACCAAGTTTTGAAACAGTGTTGGTGTATTTGGTCTCTAAAAATTATCGTGTTGGCTTTCATATATGGGACATACATCATGAGCTAAATCCATTGTAGGACTTTGAACCCGCATGTTCGGTGTATTTTTGGGGGCTAGGGATCTGTAGAACTTTACCAAAAATAAGGGTGTTGGCGTGTTTTTGACTTAGCGTATCTACAGAGAAGTCTAGTAGTTAGTGGTGAGAGCCACAAAGTGTGCTCGGAGTTCACACCTGCCGCTGGTGCTGGTTCCGGCACGGGCTCGAGCTCCTCCTTGATGGCGGGCTCGGCGGCAGACGAGTCGGGCACCGCGGATATGGGTTCGGCCATCTTCGGCGGCGGTTCAAACCCGAAGTCAAGTAGGTTGTCTACGACGGGGGCTGCCTGTGCCTCCGAAGATTCCGGGTTGTCGGACCCCAAGTACAGATCTTCCTCGGCCTCGTCTCTGCCGCTCGAGCTCACCGGTTCACCCTCGGCCTCGTGATCGTCTGCGTGAAAGAACTGGTTCCCGGGCGCGCCGACCTGTACGAAGTCGTCAAGATTATTACCCTCAAATGGGCGTGTCTGCTCCTCGAATGCACTGAAATCCTGGTCCATGCTAAACCCAGGTTACAAGGTTACTATGCAAACAATGTTTGTCGTAAGTATGCCAGCAATTCGTCCCTAAAAATGTCCTTCTTCGCAACGTCCGTCTTCCAGCTATGGATCTATTTACACTACCAAAATGGCCGTCGGACGGAATTTTCTGACGTAATGCAAGAAACCAAATTTTTTTGTACGCATGTCCAGTAATGACGTCAGATTTGTAGATATAATACTCGGGCTGCTTTTTTCTGCGAAGACTAGCGTGAGACTCACCTCGACTCCTTCAGAACTCGCTACTTCGAGGAACAGTGCAGCTCTTCAAAAATCGTCTTACGTGCAAAACGACAATCTTGTAAGACTGGTTACGTGACCTACGACCCTCAATGGCTTTACAAAAACACAACTGCCATTGGTTGATCCGGCTTGGCGCGTAAATAAACTGACCAATCAAAAACCGTACATTATATAAAATATGTTGACCTCTAACCCTTGCACTCGATATGCATGGAGGCCTCAGAAACGGAATGAGTCACTGTACATAGTTTCACGACAAAATGGTCCTCGGAGGCGAAAACACGTTGTCAGGTTCGGCACCAACAGCTAACGGACACGTTAAAGAGTCCAATGGATTCATCCAACATTCGAACGGTCACGTCCCGCATTACAAGGATGACAAGGTGAGGTCGAACCCCTCCCAAAGGAAACGGACGGTTTTGCCCCGCCTTCAAGATGGCATTTTATATAGTTCACTGACAAGTGACCGGTCGGGCGGGGCGGTGGTTGAGTTAAAACTTTCGCATGTACTAAAACCAGACGAATTACCGTGTACAATTGTATTGTAGGGTCGAAGCCACAACGAAGCACCGATACTGATCTTGTCCTTGTTTTAAAGTGTTCCAAACTTTGGCAGTTATCTGGCCAAATGATCTTGATCTGACCCCGTTGGATGTGTTACAAAATTTGCCAACGTGGAGATCCACTTTGTTACCACTTGTAACCAAAAAGAAATTCACACCACAAGTAGATAAATTTAACAACACTTACACGACAATCACTAAGCAACAGGTTATCATGAATCTAAAAGTCACATGATCATCAACGCGTTAACATGTCTCACCTTTAGTTTTGCAAAAATATTACATTTCCAACTTTTAACTAAAACTAAGTTAGTTATCAATGTAATGACAGGTGCTTAATTTTTCCAGGACAGTATATTTCAGATTGTTCAAAATTCATAGTTTTAAAGTATCACAGACTTAGAAAGTAGCAACCTTAGACTTCACTTGTGTTGGACCGGTTGTTTCTACATGTACATGCAAGGACATACTGCCTTGTAATATAGTTCTGAAGTCTGACTCACACCTCTGTCACACTTAGTATTGTTTCTTCATTCACGGCTTTGACTTGCTCTGCTAAACTCTGGAAGAATTCAGATTTCAGCACGAGTTGTTGCCTTTTCTTATAAAGCAAAGACAAGAACCAGGTTTTCATGAAGCCCCACCAGTTTGTGAGTTTTCATAGTTATAAAGTGGGAAATGATTTTTAAAAAATCTGGAATGACCTTTGCTTTTTTGCATGTCAGGTGCTTGATTCTATTTACAGTAACAATAGAACCAAATTAGAAATGAAGAAAACTGTATGTTGACTTTTTAATTGACTTTATATATCCTACTACTTTTCCAACATAAGATCAAGAAGATGTCCCAAGAGAGTTTTGAACCAGTACCCCTGCTGGTGGCCTGCCTGACATACCTGGGTTATGGCATGCTGGTGCTGTTTGGCTACTTTAGAGATTTTCTAAGGAAGAGTGGAGTGGAAACAACACATTCAACCATAGAAAGGAAAAAGATGAAGGTAAGTTATAAAAATTGTTTGTATACTAGTTAGTAGTAGTAATTAGTATTGGGCAATGCCTTTCTCCTTTGTTACCAGAAGGGTTATACAGTACTTATACCATTTCATTCTATTTGATTTGCATACTGAGCATTGGGGTTAACATTAATTAAGACTATTCATATGTTCATGTCTTTATTTTGACTCAGGTTGTAAAATCAATGTTTTCCCCCAGGATTTTGTTCCCTTGTACCAGTCCTTTGAGAGTTTCTACACCAGGAATCTTTACACACGAATCAGGGACTGTTGGAACAGGCCAATTTGCAGTGTACCGTCTGCAGAGTTTGATGTTTCAGAGAGGGTTAGCGATGATGGCAACTGGCACCTGAGGTGATTTGTAATAAGCCATGTAGCAACTAGTTAGTGCTTTGTAGATCTATTCATTCAGATTGTCCTCTCAAATAGGGCTTGACTAGTAGATTTATGTAGGTGCATTTGAATCAGATAGCTGTTTAGGGCAGGACTGGACAGGACTCACATCACATTCTAAGACAGTTTAAAATTAAGAAATGGGATCATTGCAAGATACTGAAAGTAAAGAGGGAAGAAAGTTTGCAAATGAAGAAGTAAATCAGCCCAGAATAGTTTTGTTTGTTGATCAGAAAGTAGGAGTATGCTCCATGTATTAACTATAGGAGTACATGTACAAATGTATATATGCCAAAGTACTATGTTGTAGTGAAATCTTATCAATAAGTTGGAATACTTCAACCTGCTTACAATGTTTTAAAATCTTTTCTACCAGGCTTACAGGCAAGTCAAGACGATGTGTGAATCTGGGCTCCTACAACTACCTGGGGTTTGCAGAGAACACTGGTCCCTGTGCAGATGCTGCAGCAAAGGCCTTGCAGCAGTATGGAGCAGGAGTCTGCAGCACCAGACAGGAACTTGGTAAGACTCACAAAAGGTTTCATCTAGTGTACTGTAGTCTAACTTATAAGGTTTGCATCTTCTTTACTTGTAGATTACCTACATCATACATGTGTATAACATACTAGTAATTCATCTTGAGCCTGCATAATTACAGATGGTTTTCGTCATTGATGTAGCTTCATGTATATTTTGTACATAGTTATCTGACAAATCAACATGTACTTGTACTGACACATGACTATATTGGATAACTACAGGAAACTACAGAATCCATGAAGAACTTGAGCAGACAACAGCCAGGTTCCTTGGCGTGGAGGATGCTGTCACCTTTGGCATGGGTTTTGCCACCAACTCCATGAACATTCCAGCCCTCATGGGTGGGAAGGTAGGTTAAGGATCGAGCTCTGTTTTGAGAATTTTGCAGTAGCTGAAGTACGGCGTAGTTACTAACATAAAGTGCAGGCAGTCGTTAGGCCTCAAGCTGTTTGTACAGCTGGGTAAGTGTGATATTTTCCTCCTAGAGTTAAGTCTTGTTATTGACATGTTATATGTCTACAGGGATGCCTTATCCTGAGTGATGAGTTAAACCATGCATCTCTTGTGCTGGGGGCTAGGCTGTGTAGTACTGTCATCAAGGTCTTCAAACACAATGGTGAGTATATTGGCTCAAAGTCATGCCGGAGGTGATAATCTTAGTAGATTAGCCTGATTTGGGATATTGTTTCAAGATCGTGTTTATGTTTGAGTTTGTGATAAAGTGGTACAAATATTTGATATTATAATTTGATATTTACTTCCATGTGTTTGAGTATGTAATGATTAAGTAGAACAAGTACAAGTATTTAGCATTTACAGGTGGAAGCAGTAGTAAGGTTTTGCTAAGAAACAAAAGAGAAGTCTTTTATGCTCTACCTGTATCATCGTTAGATATTGAAGATGTGGAAAGGAAACTGAGGGAAGCGATCATAAACGGCCAGCCGCGGACACACCGTGCCTGGAGGAAGATCCTGATCATAGTGGAGGGGATCTACAGTATGGAGGGCTCCATCATCAAGCTGCCGGATCTCATCCGTCTCAAGAAGAAGTACGGGGCCTACCTGTACCTGGACGAGGCCCATAGCATCGGGGCCCTGGGGGAGACAGGCAGAGGGGTGACTGAGTACTGGGGTGTGGACCCCAGGGACGTGGACATCATGATGGGGACATTCACCAAGAGCTTTGGGGCTGCAGGAGGCTACATAGCAGGGTCAAAGGTTAGTCTTAGCTTCACAGCAGTGCATATTGTTTTTGATTCTCAACAGAAGTTATCAAATGCAATTTCATGGATTTGTATTTTTACATGATGTCTTTGTGAGCTAAAAGGATGGCATCTTTTTCTTCCTGTGTTCGCAGCGGTTGATCAACCACCTCCGAGCGTACTCTCACAGCACCACATATGCCTGCTCCATGGCAGCTCCTGTGGCACAACAGGTCATCTCTTCCATGAAGATCATTATGGGTGAGGATGGTACAAACAGAGGTAAGGTTCCCCAGTTTACTGCATTGTGTAAAGCTGACATCTACTGAGGTTCTACTGTGATAAAAACTTTACTTTGAAGGAGGACATCACCATTCATCATCATCATTCTTGGGTCCAAACAACAAATGCTTAAGTTGTCTCTACTTGTAAAGTAGTTCAGGAAGGAAGATACTGGATGGCAGAATGGCACCATAGGTACCACACCTGTACCTGAATGAAAATACTGTTAGGCTGGGAAAGGTTTTTTGTGTAACATTTAATAAATGGTACCATAGCACTTGCTAGTACCATAGTAAAAGCTTCTTCAGGATGTAACTTTTGTAGAAAAGAGACGTTCATGAACAAGATTTAGAATGCAGGTACATTTCAACATGTAAGAAGAAAATCAATTATTATGAGGACTATTCTGACCATTTTAAGGCACAAGTAGTAATTCTATGAAAAGTTGTTCTATGTTAAGATATTTGTTGATGAAACAATAGTACCTTTAACTGTATTGTGTGATTGCCTTGATCTCTCTGCTGCCCAGGTCAACTCAGGATCAAGCAGCTGGCAGCCAACTCCAAGTACTTCCGGCAGCGACTGGTGGAGATGGGGTTTATTGTGTATGGGAACGACGACTCGCCCATCGTGCCTGTTCTCCTCTACATGCCTGCAAAAATTGCGTGAGTACATGAAAAAGGAAACTTTTGGTGTCCGCTTCCACCATGTGTGTTAGTCAAAAGAAAGTACAGAAAAAAAGGTAAACAGGTGTAAAGGTCACACCAAAACTTTTCAGTGTCATGTAGATTGGCCACGTGAAGTAGAATCTCTGTTTAACATCTCTGTAAAGACTAGGTGTGACACATTCCTCCCTGGAATTCCATATCCAGGAGAACCCTTCCATTCAAACAAACCTGAGTACTTCATGTAGATTTGTGTAAATTGTATATTGGAGTAATGTATAGTCTGCTACATCTTAGTCTCACTACTATTATCATAGTGCAGAATTCATGTTTAAGGCACACTGTAAAGTGATGAAACCAGCTCCTGCTGCACCATGACGCTGGTGTGTTATATCAAGTTAGTATACAGGCTATACAGACACAGATACAAACTGCTTACTTCATGAATGTAGTCAAGTTTTGAGTCATAAAGGCAGAAGTTAGGTGGAATAATGTTTTTCCAGTGTCAGATAATTAAGATGATTTATTTAGTTACAAGGAGTTTGGCTATGGAGTGCAGGATATAGTTCATGGACAGTTCATCTTGTTTGAGGCCCATGCCCAAGAATCTCATTTCTACAGTTGATGTTTAGGCTGCACTCTCTTGGCTTTGTGTGCTAGTTTGAGACTAGATGTTGAGCCCATTATGGGATTTTGTGTGATTTTTATCTCTTGTGTTTCAACACTTGGTTTGCCTAACAGCTTGTCTCTACTGTGTCTACAGTCGGTTTGCCTAACAGCTTTATTGTGTGCTTTTGTCCGTTCCTTTTCTACCAAAGTTTAGAATGTAGTGCAGTGCTTGACTTACTACTGATTTAGATGTCATTATTTTGTTCTGTTAAGAAGAAAACTTGAATAATTCCAATAAAGCCAATGTATCAGCAGTCAACCTCGGTGATCCAGACATCAGACCAACTACTAAGTATTGGCTGACAGAATAGTGGGGTTGGTAGAAAAAGATGGTTTTAAGTATGCATTACAGCATCCATAGGTACAACAGAAGCTACTGTTCTTGAATATCTTGAGTATCAAAATGCAATGTGTTCAATCAATCATGTAAATATGCTGTGAAAAGTTTGAGCACTTTCACACAAGATTGGCCATAGTGCCATGTTTGTCCCAAAGTTTTCCCAAAAAAGGTTATATTCATGAAAAATTCTTGAGAGATGTGATTATGATAGGGCTGTTTGATGTTATTTCCTGGGTAGGACTGTGGCTAAACCTGTGGTCCTATTGTTGAGTGTTGAACAGAGAGTCCACATCATGTGACCTAACGCAATGTTTGCACCCATGTTGGTGAGAGTGGGAGTTCAAACATGACAAGATTGGCTGTGGTCGTACTAACTGGCTGTACCTGTAACCTGCTTTGCTGTCCAAACCTTTGGTGTCTTGCTTGGCAAAGACTGCTGTCCCTTGACCTTTTACCCTGTTATTTGCTACAGCTTTATGCATGGTCAAGCTTTTATTATGCTGACACACATGCTGAATGCATTTGTAATATTTCTGCTGTCTGATATATATGAATGTCAATTGTGTAGATCTGTCACAGTTCTTGAGCTTCAATAGCCTTTTATCTGAAATAAAAGGTTACTACTCAATGCTACATGTAAGCCTTTAGCATGTTCTGCCTATGGGTGAAAACTGTAAAGTTGCATTTGGTTACATGGGTGGTTA